AGGTTCAATTCCGGTCAAGGGCACGTACATTAGTTGCGGGCACATCCCCAATAGGGGGTGTGCAAGAGGCAGCTGGTCTATGTCTTTCTCATCAATGTTTCTAGCTCTCTATCCCTCTCCCTTCTTCTCTGTAAAAAAAAATCAATTAAAAAATAATAATTAAAAAAAAATAAAGTAATCCTCTATCTCAAAATGATATAAATGTATAGGCTTGTTCTAGAATTCTTATATAGTTTTAATTTAAAAATGTTTTTTCTTTAACCATTTGGGTTTTATTTTGGTGATAGGTATAAAGTAGGAATCTAACTCCTCCCAAATGTCCCAACAGTATTTATTGAATAATCTACCTTAACTCCATATTTAAGTATTATCTTTACCACACATTAATAAAATGCTCATATAAATTGTCTGTTTTGGATTCCCTATTCTTTACAACAATGATTACTATTCTTTAGTTCTAATGCATTTTACTGTATGGTAGGAGAAGTCATCTTTTGTGCTCTGGTAGAAAAGAATTCCAAAACTCTTCTGTTAATACATAATGCTTTATAAACTTTAGAATCACTTTGTCAATTTCTACAATAGAGATAATATTATCTTTAGATATTACTTTCAGGAGAGTAGATAGCTTTAAAGTATTAAATATTTCCAGTCAAAGTATGGAACATTTCTCCATTTAGTCAAATCTTATTATACCCTTCTATAGTATTTTCATAGTCTTCAGCTTAACCACATGTTTATTTTTATACTTTAAACTTGTCTTTTGTAAATGTTTTATTTTATACTGCTTAGCTGATTAACGCTATTAAATAAAGAGGAAATCAATAGTTTTCCTCTTGGGTCCCTGTGTGTTTCTAGGATGAGGGGATACATTTTCACTAAGTTTTCAAAAGGGACCCCAAGTAGATTAAGTCTTGAGTTTCTCTGAACTGCCCATAGTGACAAGCACAGTCATGGACACATTCCACAGCTCATTAAGTATTTGTTGGCATCCTGTATACATAAGACACTTATCGCTTTCTCACTCTTTACATGAAGGCTCTAATTTCATTTGTTCAAAAGACATTTATAATACACCAGTACTATGTGCCAAAACACTATACCAGGCTCTGAGGACCATAAACAAACAAACAAACAAATGCAGTATCCATATACTAATACAAGGAGCTCAAAGTATAATGATGAGTGAGACAAACATCTATCCTATCCTATGTGGGAACCCTTAACACAACCCGCGTGATTAGGGCCCACTCAGGGTCCAGTTTCTGGAGGAGGCCACACACTAAAATGAAGAAAGACTAGAAGAGAGTTAATTTGGGACAAATGGGGAGGCCAGGCGGGAAGTCAACCTCTAGTGGGAAGACTCTCTGAGTCTGACCTTGCTATCCCTTTAATTGAGGCTGCTATGGGCTACACCCATTACCCTTAAGCAGCTTTGGGAAACACCCATAGCCCTTAGGCAGGTAATAAGAAGATTATCATATCGGCAAGGATTTACATGATTACATGGGGAAGTTGCCTCAATTAATATTGTCTCAATTAGATAGGGTGTGGTTGGCTCTGACCTTTCAGAGCTTCAAAGTTGGCCAACCTCTTTCTATTAGTGAGACAATGATTGGTTTCCGGCAATCCTATATAATAAAAACGTAGTATGCAAATTGTCCCCTTGACCAGGAGTGTGTCTGGGAGTTTGAGCAGGGGGCAGGTCGTGCTGTGGGAAGGGAGGGAGGCCCCGCAGCAGGCAGCCAGGGGAAGGGAGGAAGTACCTGGTCGGCAGCTGGCTAGGGACCCTACCAAGTGCACAAATTTTGTGCACTGGGACTAGCCAGTAATTATGATCACCAGGGAGCAGACACTCCACATAAATGCAGAAACCAAAGACATGGAAACATGGAGACTGATGGATCTCAGGGGGAAGGGGCGAGGGGAGTATGAGAAGAAACTAACCAAAGATCTTATATGTATACTAGAGGCCCAGTGCATGGATTTGTGCACCCGTGGACCCTTGGCCTGGCCTGCAGGGATCTAGCAGAAACAAGCTCTCCAACGTCCCCCCGAGAATGTGAGAGGGCGCAGGCTAGGCCAATGGACCCCATCAGTGCACAAATCCATACACTGGGCCTCTAGTCGTCATTATAATACAATATGTTATAAGAGCAATGATACAGCCATTATGGGGAAGGGCTTATATGTTGCTGCGGAAATTATGAGAACATATAAGTGACTGGTATGTGGTAAGCAGAGGGCAAAGAAACGAACACTGGGAACACAAGCACATGAAGGGCAGTGCAGTGTGATAGAAACAAAGCCCAAGAATAAAGCAGAAAAGGAATGATTAATAAGACACATGAGAAATAAAGAGCAGCTTCTGAAGGAGGGTGAAATCAGCAGTATCAAATGCACCACTAAAGACTTCAAAAGAGTCCCAAAACCTACCAATTAGAGGTTCTGGTAGCCTCAGAAGTTTCCAAGATGTGAGCAACAGAAGGCAGATTACAATGGGGTGAGAAGTCAGTGAAAAATAGTAATTAAAATATTTGGATAAGAAAGGAAGAAAGACAAGATAGTCCCTAAAGAACTCAAGATTAAAAGGGATACCTTTTAGGATAAGAGGGACTTGAATAGGTTTTCAGGCTAAAGGGCAAGAACAAGCAGAGAGGAAGAGGTTGAGAGTTTGGAAACAGAGAAGTGATATAAAAGAGCGAGAAACAAGAATGGCAAAATGGACAGTCAGGGGCATGACTGGAAAAGTAGAGATTAAGCAGGAGGTGAGACATCCTCTTCACTAAAAAAAACAAAGGAAAGAGAACAGTGATGAGAAAGGGCAAAGATGCCCTGGCCATGTAGCTCAGTTGGTCAGAGAGTTGTCCCGATCCCTGGTCAGGGCACATACAGGAATCAACCAATGAATGCATGAATAAGTGGAACAACAAATCTCTTTCTCAAAGCAATCAATAAATTTTTTTAAATGAAATAACACAATACTAGATTACAGTCAAAGCAAGAGTTTAGAGATAAAGTATGTTCTGTGTTATTTCACCAAATCCAGCATGATATGTATTATTGTTCAGCCCTAACAGCCCATGTGCAGTAGGAAAAATGATAGAGGGCTAAAGTAAACAAACTTTTTCTATAAAGTAAGCAAATATTTTTTGGTTTTGCAAGCCAGGTAAGTCTCCATTACAACTACTCAATTCTATCACTGTAGCATGAAACAGTCACTGACGATGTATAAAGAAGTGGCCGTAACTATGTTACAATAAAACTTTATTTACCAATGAGTGGATTTGGCCCACTTGACCCGTTCTCTAGACTGAGATACTACAATGGAAATAAAGTAGTAGAAATAAATATGAGGGAGAATGAAATAAGAAAATAGACAAGAAGGCACAGAACTGAAACATGGTTGAGTTATTAAAAAGAAAAAAATATAAATAAGGAGCAATAGGAAGAGCAGAAAGAAGGCAAGAGAAAAAAAGCAGGTGAGAAAGGAACTTTGGAAAGAGACAGAAAACCAAGTTAAAATGCCAATTTCAAGGTATGTATATGCCGGTCAAGGGCACGTAATTGGGTTGCAGGTTCGATCCTGGGTCCCAGTCGTGTGGGAGGCAACCAACTGATGTCTCTCTCACACTGATTTTTTTCTTCTTCTCTCTCTCCCTGTATCCCTCTCTCCTTTTCACTCTTTCTAAAAGTCAATGGAGAAGAAACCGGTTTGGTTCAATGGATAGAGCGTCAGCTTGGGGACTGAAAGGTCCGGGGTTCGATTCCGGTCAAGGGCATGTACCTTGGTTGCGGGCATATCCCCAGTGGGGGGTGAGCAAGAGGCAGCTGATCGATGACTCTCTCTCATCGACGTTTCTAGCTCTGTATCTCTCTCCCTTCCTCTCTGTACAAAATCAATAAAATATATTTAAAAAATAAAAAAACAAAATAAAATAAAAGTCAATGAAAAAAATATCATTGCATAAGGATTAATAAAAAACAAGACAGATATTTTCAAAGATACAAGAACAGGACACAGTGATTTCATCAACATTGCAACGCAGTTGCAGAGTATGTACCTAGCATGGCTAGCTTCTGAAAAAGCAAGCTAACATAGGTGAGAACCTTGTTAAGAGCACCAAGAGAAAAGCTTTTACTTTCTGGTGGCTTGTAAATTCGAAATAACAGTGTAGAAAACTTAGCCCAACAGAAACAGCTGCTGGCATAGACTAAATCATAAAAATTAAAAATTGCTGAGTAATAATTTGCAATAGAATTGACTATGGAATTTGACCAAGAGAAAAATCAATTTAAGAATTTTAGAATCAAGTTCAAAATTGCCCAGAAGAGTCTTTCAATGTTACTGAACATTCAGCACTATAAAGTATGCTTCTCTAGATGAATAACAGCAATTCTGACATTTTTCTCCTCAACGGAGTTGAAACATACTAAATTTTACTATAAATACATCACCGCTTTTATATTCTCCAAATGTAGTCCCATACCCTGAACTTTTTTTCAAATATGTATGTTCTCCTTTACCATTTGTTTTCATTAATCATTTTCTATCCATAGCCCTCTGCCTTTCTCCCTTAGCTCTGTGCCTTTGATTTCTTTCCAGAGCATTTATAGAACTACAAGCTTAATAAAACTATAAGTATTATTTATAAGCATTATAAAATGAAAAATTTATAAACTAACACATTATAGAACAAATGGGACAATAAATTTTCAGATGAATATAACAGTAGCATGCTTAACCATGAAACTGTAGAAAATCCTTTACAAACTATTTTTTAATAAGAACCCAAACTCTCATTATTTATCCTACTAAAAGTACCAATGAATCTTCTACTAGTTTTTAATATTTTCCAACAAAAATGCCTTATAATCCCCATTTGTCTTAATCAGGTCTTTTTTTAAAGCCCATATTTCTTTAAAAAAAAAAATGTCTGTAGAGTCTGCTTGAGAAAATTTTATAAACCATGAAGCATACTTAGGAAATCAAAACTCACCTCTTCTTGCGTAACTGGAGTCCATATCTTTAAACTGTACCACAACGAAGTCTGAACACTTAAACAAAATACTCTCCATTATTTCTTCACGTTTTGGCCCTGAACTGGATTCTGTACTTTTCTCATGTGCAGCATCAAGGACCAAATCACACTTAAATGAAAAACATGAGTAAATATTTAAACATTTATAAAATAAACTTGACAGGACTTCTTTGGCATATCAAGATACTATGCTTACATGCCTTTGGCAAAAAATAATCTATCTCAAGAGAACTATATGTTTTCCTCAGAAATATGAACTGTTGCTGAAACTGGTTTGGCTCAGTGGATAGAGCGTCAGTCTGCGGACTCAAAGGTCCCAGGTTCGATTCCTGTCAAGGGCATGTATATTAGTTGCAGGCACATCCCCAGTAGGGGGTGTGCAGGAGGCAGCTGGTCGATGTTTCTCTCTCATCAACATTTCTAGCTCTCTATCTCTCTCCCTTCCTCTCTGTGGAAAATCAATAAAAATATTTTAAAATACATATATATGAACTGTTTCCCATTCCATCTTTTAAAATTCCTCTCACCTAAAAGTTGGTCCTTGCTACCATGGTATGCCTCGAGTACATTAATAGTAATAAAAAAATTAACAAACCAATTTCTCCCTCTTGTGGCCCACAATACTTGAAAAGGCCAAAATATTTTTGTTGTTGTTGCTAATGCTCACCAGAGGATATTGATTTTTAGAAAGAGTGGAGGGGAGAGACAGAGAGAAACATTGATGTGAAAGAGACACATCGGTTGGTCATCTCCCACATCCGCCCCATCAGGGATAAGGATTGAGCCTACAATTGAGGTAGGTGCCCTTGACCAGAATTGAACCCAGGACACTTCAGTCCATACTCCACCTACTGAGCCAAACCAGCTAGGGCAAGGCCAAAATATTTTAATAAGCACACAGAGCAAGAAATCGTTTTGATTATACATACCATCTATAAAATAATCAGTATTTGAAACTGAAGAGCAAAATCATTCAGTGGTTTTAAAAAGTGCTTTTAAGGTAAAGCACTGAGCATGAAAATGTGACAAACATACCCACCTCATAACTATAAATTGCTAAATCAGAAACCAACAGGCACTGTCGGGAAGCCACACAAGCAAAGGGCAGTTAATGATTCATAGGGTTTCACATTTAACAAAAAGGAAAAGAGTAAAAATTACCTTAGGACTGTATGTTTTAAAAACTCCTTCATATATACCTCCGTTTTTCACTTGTACTTCACATTTGGATCCCTAAAAACATACAATTAATTTATCAAAGAAACAGTGTGCTACCCAGTCATGGTGGTAATTGTTTTCAATTTACTTTTTATAGCTCATCAGGCTTCATTCAACATTATCAAGTGCCCATTGACAGAACAATAAAGTTTTTAAAATATCAATAATACACAATTCACACAGGATTCTGCTCAGAATTTACAGCATGAACTTAAATACTGAAGTATTTCTGACTCCAGTTTTCTTAGGTGACAAAATAATGCATCATAACAACTACTAATATTATTATGTACACAGCAGGGTTAACAAGAATGCTTTTTGTAGGGAATTACAATAACTTGAATGGAATTCTAATCTCAGAAGTTCTAGTCAGAATTCCTGATTAAACATAACCTAAGAAATGTTACAGAGAATCATTCAACCACATTTTAACTTCATGAAATTATTTTATTCTACTCCAAGGCAGTTTCTCCCCAATAATGTGATAACTTACAACAACTGATGTAAGTATATGAACCATCCTCATATTGGCATAGATTCCATCAAAAGAAATCTGGAATATTAAGAAGAAGAAAAACACATTATCAGCAATCATATTTATCCTCGCATGTGTATTAAACATTTATTTTGTTATAAAATATTTAGTTAGGTTTGTAATACCTTACATGCATTAAAGGAAGATTTGGTTTACTATAGTCTTTTGCTTCCTTAAGAATAGCAGCTTAGGTTTCCATACCAAATAGCATTGTTTTGACTATGCATGATATAAAAAGCAAAACTGAACTTACATGTAAGAGGGAAAGATAAAGCCATAGGAATAGAAGAGACAGATCAGTGGTTGGGGAGATTTCACTATAAAGTGACACAAGGGGTTTTTAGAGGCAACGTAACTGTCCTACTATCTTGAGTATGGTGGTGGTTACACAAGTGTATGCTTCAAAATTCACAGACCTGTTTACTAAACAGGATTAAGAATACCTTAAGTAAATAGGTTAGAATTGGGGTCATCTTTGTAGAAGACCCTAGATTATCTGCTCTCAGCATGTATGAATCAATGATAGCGCTCTAAGGATTAATCAGCCACACCACTTCTTATTACACAAGTGTGTGTCCTCCTGATTCTAAAGAAGAAAATCTACACAATAAAGACAAAGTCTCAAAAATTAGTGAGTGGAACTTATACCTTCTCCCGTTTGTGCCCAATTTAATTTCAGTGATAAGAGTTCTGAAATTTAAACCCAAAAGACCCTTTCAAAGGGAGAAAAGTGAAAAAAGTAAATAAATCAAAGATAGCACATTAACTCAAAATCAAAACCCAAAGAGCTCTGCAAACTCCAGTTCTGGTGTTCCACTTACCTTTTAGGAGTTAGATTTGCCTTCAGTCATTTATAAAAGAAGAAATGACATTACTATGCATGAAAAATATTCCTAGGTAATATTACACTTTATACAGTCATCATCAAAACCACAGAGCTATTAAATTTATACCAAACAGTATTAATCTGTAAAAGATATCAGAGATATAAAATTGAAGAGGATCGATTTTTTTTTTTTTTGCCTTGACTTTTGGTCTATGGTTTCAAAATCACATTTCAGTTACCAGTTTTTCCAAACAAATATAATTCAAGTTACTCACCGTAGACTGAGGCAGTCCCTTGTTATTGTTTCGACCTCTGAAAAGATAAAATATTGTATTTATTAAATTCAACAGGCTAAACAAGCTAAAAGTATTTTCACATTAAAAATATCTTATAATTCCATTCAAATAAAATACAAGTGATCAATCTGAGTCATTTAATAATAAAAGCTTTCTAAGAACAGTACTGCTCTCTCTTTCTGCTTTGCTGGCTCTGAGGCCCAGAACAGGTATGGGTCATGGAAAAAGGCAGGAGGAAAGAAACTGAACAATATCACACTCAAAATAAAAATAGCTTACTGGAATAACCAATACTAAATATAATAATCTTTACTCCAAAAGTAACCAATTGCTCTATTATAAAAAGCTCCTCAGGATCAAAATATAGATTCTGTTCCTGATGTGACTGATATCAAATCACCTATGTTTTTCCCTCACCTCTAAGAATAGGTACTGTGTTTACAACTGCAGAAAAACCTCGAAATAAGTAAAATTTGCCTTAGCAGGTTTGGCTCAGTGCATAGAGCGTCAGCCTATGGACCAAAGAGTCCCAGGTTCAATTCTGTTGCAGGCTCCTTCCTGGCCTGGGCCCTGCTCAGGGCGTGCAGAAGGCAACCCATCAGGAGGCTACCAATCAATGTGTTTCTCTCACATTGATGATCCTCTCTCTGCCTTTCCTCTCTTCTACTCTCTCTAAAAATCAATAGGAAAATATCCCTGGATGAGGATTTTAAAAAGTTAAATCATTCAAAGCACTTTCTCTGCTAAACATTAAGTGCCTTCTCCTGTAACAATGCAGCACACCAGTGAAGCTGGCTTGTCAAGTAATTTCCAGTAATGTGGACTCTAGTTTCAATTTTATTATAGAACATAATACACCCTAAGGCTTGTTTCATTAGAAAAGATTAGATCCCTTAGGAAATGATAAAAACACTAATAAAGTGAAATGTTATATTCCTAAAAACATGAGTTACCCTAGAATAACAGAACTGGGATCTCATTTTAATAAAATCACAACTCTCAAATTAAGATACAAACTTAAGGGAGAGATCAACCAAAGGACTTGTATGCATGCATAGAAGCATAACCAATGGACACAGACACCAGGGGGGAGAGGGCATGAGTAGGGGAAGGGGCAAAGAGAGGATAAGGATACATATGTAATACCTTAATCAAAAAGAAAAAAAAAGGTACAAACTTAAAACATTTAAAGAGAAGTACAATTCAGGTCCAAAAAGTCTAGCAGTTTTGAATGGTATCAATTCCCAGCAAAGCAGCACTGCCCTTAGCACTGAGGCCAGGGCCGATTTGGTCTCCAACTCTGTCACCTCCTCTCACCTAGAAGACAATGTCTTGAACCAAATAACCTCTGGGATCCATCCATTTCCCAATATTCTGATTCTGGGACCCTGCCTCACACACAGCAGAGAACTTCCTCAAGTCTAACGATGACCAATAATTTACCATTTATAGAACTGACTAAAACCAGACAATATGGTAAGCACAATAGTCAAATCTCTCACCCCTCCTTTAGAGGGGATGAAACCAAACCTTGGCAGTCAGTTAAACATCTTGAGCAAAATCATTCAGCTCATGAGCAGGAGGTGGTATCTGAACCAGGTGATCCAAAGTCTAGGCTTTTCATTTCTAGGTTATGCTGCCTCTCTGAGATTACAGGGAATAAAATAGCCTCACAATTAAGCCTAATCAAACTTGTACACTTTTTTCAAACAATATTTGAATAATTTAGATTTTTCTATTTAATTTGTAGTCTGTAGCTAAAGACTAAATCTTGTTTAGAAAGGTTATCTCATCTTAGTGGTTGCTAAGATGCCATCATTAAAAGACTTAAGCAAATGCCTCCAATTAAGTGCCTCTAAACTCACAAAGCCACTTAAGTTTAAAATATAAAACTCTTTTTGATAGTCATGCTACTTTTTATTGATTATACATTTCTGCCTTTGACTAATAAAGAGCAATTGTTTTGACAATCCAATTTACTCAGATCAAATAGCTCAACAGGGAAAATAATAAATCACTCAAAGTGGTATAAAGTGTACAAAGTGCAGAAAGCACTGATTTCTCCTGATATACCAGGTGGTTGGGCACTCAAGGCAGAATGTTAACATTTCACAGAGCATTCTCTGAAACTGGTAAAATCCCATATGCATCTTTGTTTTTTCTCTCTTTTTGGATCTACTCAGATTATGCTTTACTTTTATTTCTCTTTAGTATTCTGAAACAAGGTACCTTAATATTTCATTCTGTTACAAAAAAAATTGAGTCTCAAAGAAAAGCCAAGATCACATTCTAGTCCTAAATATACTTATGATTAGATTGATCAGATTTAACAAAACTATTCCCTGGTTTCTAAGCTTTTAATAGTTATTAGTTTAACTAGTTTGGCTCAGTGGATAGAGCATCGGCCTGTGAAACTGACGGGTCCTGGGTTCGATTCGGGTCAAGGGCATGTACCTTGGTTGCGGGCACATCCCTGGTGGGGAGTGTGCAGGAGGCAGCTGGTTGATGTTTCTCATTGATATTCCTAACTCTCTATCCCTCTTCCTTTCTCTCTTAAAAAATGAAATATATTTTTAAAAAATAATAAAATAAAGTGTGATTCAATATACCAAATTCACACAAAGAAAGTTACAAAAATAATAGCATAAACTGCTCCAAAATAATACAGGAAGGAGAAACCATGATGGTGGCATAGGTAAACACCTAAACTGCTGCCTTGCACAACTATTTCAAAACTATAACTAAAAGACAAAACGGACATCATCCAGAACCACAGGAAGGCTGGCTGAGTGGAAATTCTACAACTAGAAGGAGAAAAAGCACACTGAGACTCAGAGGAGCTGTAGGAAGCAGAGGTACCAAGGTGTGCAAGCAGAGATGGAGGGCAACTGAGCACTCGGCTGGCTTTCTCAAGTGGGAGGGAGACAAAAGCTCCAGACTGCACTGAACTGAACTCGTTCCAGGAGAGACTCTCGGGATCCAGACTCATTCGGGAAGAAACTGGACTGTTAGGCAGCGGGCGGAACTTGAGGGCGGCTTTTTCTCAGAGGTGCTTGCAGTGATAACCATGGGACACTGAGACACAGGGACCTATTAGGGCAGGGCTGACGGGAAACCAATGCTGTCTGCTTCACCATGAGACTCAGCCCCGTCTAAGCTGAGCACAAAGGCATTTGCAAGTCTTGTCTCATAAAGGTGTCTCCAGCACAGTTCTTCCAGCGTAGACACAGCTGATCCTCACAGCCAATTGGTATCCTCCCAGTGATACCAACAACAATCAAGGCTTAACTACAACAGGAGTGTGTACAAAGCCTACACAGGGGTGCACCAAGAGTGTCCATCTCAGGTAATTGGGAGGCTGAGCCACTGGGCCCTATAGGACACCTAGCACACAAAGCTACTCTATCAACTCAGGGAAGCAGCCAAAATGCAGACACAAAAACAAAACAAAAAAACAAAACAGATCACAAATGAAAGAAATGGACGAAAACAAAGGACTGGATATAGAGTTCAAAACCTAAAGGGTCCCAGGTTCAATTCTGGCTAAGGGTATATGCCTGAATTGCAGGCTTGATCCTCAGTAGGGGGCGTGCAGGAGGTAGACAATCAATGATTCTCATCGTTGATGTCTCTCTCTCTCTCCTTCTCCCTTCTTCTCTGAAATCAATAAAGAAGAAAAAAAATAATTAAAAAAAAAAAAAAAAGGAATACTCAGCCCTAGCCAGCTTGGTTCAGGGAAAGAGCGTCAGCCTGCAGACTGAAGGGCTGTGGGTTTGATTCTGATCAAGAGCATATGCCTGGATCCCCAGTGGGGGGTGTGCAGGAGACAGCTGATCAATGATTCTCTCTCATCATTAATGTTTCTCTCTCCCTCTCCCTTCCTCTCTAAAATCAATAAAAATGTATTTTAAAAAAATACTCATCACTGCCGAAACCGGTTTGGCTCAGTGGATGGAGCATTGGCCTGTGGACTCAAAGGACCCGGGTTCGATTCCGGTCAAGGGCATGTGCTCTGGTTGCGGGCACATCCCCAGTGGGGAGTGTGCAAGAGGCAGCTGGTCGATGTTTCTCTCTCATCGATGTTTCTGACTTTCTGTCCCTCTCCCTTCCTCTCTGTAGAGCAGCGTTTTTCAACCGCTGTTCCGCGGCACACTAGTGTGCCGCGAGATGTTGCCTGGTGTGCCGTAGGTGCAGACAAGACAAGAATTTTATAATTTTTCACTATTTTGTTTACTTAATATTTCATAATAAAGTAATTATAAAATACTTTCTTTGTGTTTATTTGATTCCTATTCAAGAGAATTACTTTATATATAGTCAATATAGGCACAGAGTTAAATTTTTTTAACATTTTCTAATGGTGGTGTGCCTCGTGATTTTTTTCATGAAACAAGTGTGCCTTTGCCCAAAAGAGGTTGAAAAACACTGCTGTAGAGAATCAATAAAATGTTTTTTTTAAAAAATACTCATCACTTCTGTACTATTTCTATCAAAATGTACACAGGGAGTCCTCAGGTTAAGACAGAGATCCATTCCTATTGCGTAATGTAACACGAAGTCGGAACCCACCTACATAAGCACCTACGTCACTCACACGGAGCACATACACAGCAGTAATGAAGTGAAACAGTAAAAAAAAAAAAAAAAATTAAAAGAAAGTTAACAATTCCTGGCCTTTACTTGTGGTAAGTAAATGATAAAAAAAAAACACACAAAAAAAAAATCATAAAGCATATATGTACATATGTTAAAATGACGGAACTTTTTTTTTTTAATTATAAATTCTGTAAATGGGAGATGGTGACGTAACCACGAAACGACTTAAGACAAGTCCGATGGAACTCGAGAACTGCCTGTAATCTGAATCTTATTAGGAGGGAATGTCAGACAAGCCCTAGTTTAGGGACATTCTACAAAATAACATCTTCAAAAGTGTCAAGTCATGCCCTAACCAGTCTGGCTCAATGGATAGAGTGTCAGCCTGCAGACTGAAGTTTCAATTCCAGTCAAGGGCAT